TCAAAAAAAAAAAAAAACAACAGACACTTGGGTTTGTGGGTTGAGTTTCTGTGTCCCTCACCATTGCTGAATCTCAAATATCCACACAACAAGAAAAAGTATAGGAAAATCGACTATAAGATTAAATCTGGATGTAGACTCAAGTTCATCTAAGCCTTTCTAATTAATGTTAAATATACCATCAAGTTAATTTTTGTTATACAAGTTAAAAATCCCTGCAGCAGAGAATTATTATTGTTATTATTATTAGACTGTTACTATTTTCAGCCTTGCCTTTTATCTGTGCTATGTTACATCTCTGCTTAAAAAGCTCTGCTCCATTCATGACAACATGAATAAGTTTGGAAAACTTTGTACTAAGTGAAATAAGTTAGGTACAGACACGGACTGATTTCACTCATTCATGGAATCTTAAAAAGTTGAATTCATAGACCAAGTGAGGTGGCTCACGCCTGTAAACCTAACACTCTAGGAGGCTGAGGCAGGAGAACGATTTGAGCTCAGGGGTCCAAGACCAGCCTAAATAAGAGCAAGACCTTGTCTCTACTACAAATAGAAAAATTAGCCCAGTGTTGTGCTGGGGTCCTGTACTTGGGAGGCTGAGGCTGGAGAAGTGATTGAACCCAGGAGTTTGAGTTTGAGGTTGCTGTGAACTAGGCTGACACCATGGCACTATAGTCCAGCCCAGGCAACAGCGTGAGACTCTGTCTCAAAAACTTAAAAAATCGAATTCATGGAAGGAGAAAGTAAAATGATGGTTATCAAAGGCTGGAGGGTGGGATGGAGTTGGAGGGAATGGAGAGGTGTTTATCAAAGAGTACAAAGTTTTAGATAGACAGAAAGAGTAAGTTTGAGATCTCAATAATAATGTATTACAGCGGGGCATGGTGGCTCATGCCTGTCATCCCAGCACTCTGGGAGGCCAAGGCAGGTGGACTGTTTGAGCTCAGGAGTTTAAGATCAGCCTGAGCAAGTGTGAGACCCCCATCTCTACTGGAAAAAAAAAATAGAATGGATGTTGTGGCAGCTGCCTGTAGTCTCAGCTATCTGGGAGGCTAAGGCAAGAGGATCACTTGGGCCCAAAAGTTTGAGGTTGCTGTGAGCTATGATGGTATAGCACTCTACGAGGGCAACGAAATGAGACTCTGTCTCAAAAAAATAATGACGTATTACATATTTTAAAATAGCTAAGTAACTTTCAAATATCTCATCATAAAAAGGATAGGTAATGCCTCGGCACCTGTGGCTCAAGCGGCTAAGGTGCCAGCCACATACACCTAAGGTGGCGGGTTCGAATCCCCAGCCCGGCCCACCAAACAACAATGATGGCTGCAACCAAAAAAA